GACCAAAATAAAGAAAAAAGTCTTGATAAACAAAGTAACGGCTGCAGAGATATCGAAGATTATTTGTTTTATGAAACATTTATTTGCAATCTGTTCAAGCAAAAAAGAGAAGCTTCTAGTAAAAATTCGAAAAATTTTCACATTTGATATCTCCGAAATCGTTACTTTGCGGCCCAATGTTTATTAAGACTATTTTACAATCTTTTTTTAATGCCCTGTATGTAAAAAGGTATTCAATTTTTAACAAACTTCTACATTTTTTTAAGTTTCCGACTGCAATATATTAAAAAAAAATGTTATACTTAGTCTTAAAGTTCGTACTTTCCTCTTTATAGAGAAAAAATCGTTAGTTTTAGAAATAAAACGTTTTTTTGATAAAAACATGCACTTTTTAAAAATTTTTTACACAAAAACTAAGACAGCTAGAACAAATTTTTTCTTACTTCTGCTAAGAAGAAAGTACAGAATTTAAAGCTGTAGCAATTTTTTAGTGTTTTGCATTTGTAATGATTAATAAATTAAGAAGTTTGTTAAAAGTTAAATAACTTAAAAAAATTTAATGGAACACCCTGTTTTTATTTTTGCATCTAATAAATTGATAAATTGTCTACCTAAAAAAGTAAACTTTTAATGTATAGAGTTGATAAATGAAAAAAATATTTAACATTTAATATTAATTGTAGCAACAATGACTATCAATAACTGAGCATTGTTGATACTATGGCAACTATAGTAATTCCGTAGATTTATCCAGAGATTGTAAAAGTTTTTATAAATACTGAAATTCGAATTATTTTAGGTATTGTAAAAATAAAGATTAGTGGATTCAGTTTAACACAAATGTGATTAAATGTGTGATATTTCTTCTCTTGTGCAACTGTGCACTTTTTGACTACTGAAACAATATTAATTATTTTTTTTAATGTTTAACGTTAAATATCTTTTTAGTTATTGATTATAAACACCTAAAAGTAAATAATTTTAGAAAGACAATTTAATAATCTTTAAAATGCAAAAACAATAAATAGGGTGTTCCATTTAATTTTTTTTAGTTATTGAACTTTTAGCAAACGCCCTTTATTTTTTTATCTTTGTAAATGCAACACACTAAAAAATGTTACAACCTTATAGCTTGTACCTTCTTCTTTGCGGTAGTAAAAAAAATATTTCTAGATGTCTTAGTTTTTGTGTAATAGATTTTTAAAAAGTGTATGTTTTCGTCAAAGAAACCGTCTTATTTTTAAAACTAAGCAAAATCGACGAATAAAAGTTTAGCTTAAAAACACTGCTATAAAAATCTACATCCAAAAACCCTAAAAAACATAGAGTGTTTCATTTAAAAAAACACAAGTTTGTATTGTAACTTATTTTTGAGACACGCTGTATAGTTAAAAATAATTTTAGGCGATGAACTACATTAGTATCTATCAATGTCTTATATATTTTTTTTTAATTTTTCAATTAAAGGTCACTAATGAACTTTTCAACTCGCTGAAACACCCTGTATGCTTGCCTCAGTATCAACAATGCTCATTTGAATGATAGGCTTCTCCTTAAATATTTTACAATCTTCTTTTAATACCCTGCATACAAAAATAAAAATTTGGGTGTTACATTTAATTTATTTTAATTATTAATTATTAATATTAATTATTTTTAATTATTCCATTTTGACAAACTTCTACATTTTTTTTAACTTTCCGACTACAATACGCAATTAAAAAAATGTTATAACATTTATACTTAGTCTTAAAGTTAGTACTTTCTTCTTCACAGAGAAAAAATTTTTATAACTGTGTTAACTTTTTGTGTAATAAATTTTTAAAAACAGTATGTTTTGTCAAGAAAACCAATTTATTTCCAAAACTAAGCAAAATCGACCAATAAAAAATAGAAATTAAAAGCTACTCTAAAAATACTAAGAAACATAATAGTGTTTCATTTAAAAAACATAAGTTCGTATTGTAATTTATTTGGGACAAGCTGTATAATTAAAAATAATTTCAGGCGATGCACTAGATTTAGTATCTATCAATTTCCTACACAGATTTCTTCAAATTTTACCATTTAAAGGTGAATAATGGACTTTACCAAATCGCTGGTACTCGCTGTATAACATCAAATTTACAACAAACAGGGTATCTATAAAAACTTGTCAGGCTTCGTGATTTTTGACCTATAGACGGCAAAGTTTTCTTTTTTGAAAATGCGATCAATGCGTCCTCACGCTGCATAATAATCGCTATCATTCACTCTCCCGCTGCATTTATTCCTCCGGTAAAAGAGCCGGAGATTCCGGTGTCTCCATTGAAGCCGTCACACACATGTCCGAGGCATCTTCAGCTGCAAATTTCGCCTAATCACCCTTCGTGCTTTGACTTGTTCATCATGTCGCCTATTACAGGTAATTAGTTTTGTAAAGTTGGCAAAAGAACGCTACACACATGTGATAACTCAGTGAAAAATCCCCTTACAGTTATCCGATTGTTTGAGAAATCTTTTGTCGCGATAATTCGATTAGAATTTTGTCAAGGAGTCGTTTCCTTTTTACGATTGATTGTGAGTTAATTGTGTCTGATCGCGGCGATAAGACCACTGTTTGGGGATTAATTGTGCCCTCGTAAATCCCGCATTGGACATTTTTTTCTCATAAAAAGGCATCCGGGCGATTATTTCGCTATTATTTGGGATTTTACAAGCCGGTGGTAGAAAGTCACCAGCATTAGATTGATATTTTGATTGATCAGTGTGGGTTGCTTCATCCCTAAAGCTAATTTTATATCGAAATGAGCCTCTTTGTGGACAATAAAATTGTCGTCAAAACAGATTTTTTTCAGTTTTATTCATCCCCAAAAACTCCAAGTCAACAGAAAAATTTATGACTTAGAGTTGTGTTACAATATCTAAACAAAAAGTTAGTTGTTTTAGTTTTGTTTACGAAATTAGAAATAAAATAAACGTATTACCGTTACAAGAAAGTTAATGATTTGCAATAATTGATTTCAAAAATTCATATTCTAGATTAAAAAAAAAAGATTTTCTACAATTGTGACATCCATAAGTGCTTTTTTTTGTTTATATTTTTATTTATTCAATCCATTTAAGTTCAAGATTCATTAAATTCAATGTTTTCAAGATTTCAAGGTTTGCTTTTAGACTTTCAATTTTTTAAGCCCTAATTGTAATAATAAAATGTTCTTTTATTTTATTTCTGATTGATTATGAAACACAAAACTATTTTTTGGTTATTATTTTCACTAAAAAATAAAACAACACATAGGTATATTTGGTCATTTTTTATTTTTATATAGTCGTAGGTTTTAGAGTGAGGTAAAATCTAAAAGTTCACACTTGGGTGTGTATGCGTATAAAGGCGTCTCGGAAGAGTCTACTTTAAAAAAGAGGGGAGTTATTGGAAGCAGTGGCGTGTAGTTCAGTTTTATTATCGCAATTATTAGGCTCCGCCCAGGTGTGCACTTCTTGCTTTTACCACACTCTACTCAAAATACTAATAAGATCAATTATTATTAGTAATTTTTTTATTTCTCTTCCTTCGTTTTCTTTAAAAACACTTTGCCTTCTTACTCTTTCTTTAAATTATTCAACTATGGTGAAGAAATTTTCAGGAATACATAAGGACATCTGAATAATAAAGTTTGCTATTTAAAACAAAAGTCTACGTTATGGTAAAGACAAAAAAGTTGGACTTTAAAACTTAGAACATAGAACCCTTCTAGAGCTCTTTCATAGCAAATGTCAATCTTTTAATGTTGTTAGTTACTGTAAGAGACCGCTTAAAAACGTGTGCCCCAATACACAATTACTTCACATTTTTTTGCATTTATTCAACACAAAAATTGAAATTTATTTATTATTCGTTTTTTTTTATTTTTTTTATTTATATCATTTATTATTCCTGTATTGCATTAATTGCAAAGAATCGGAAAAAAATAACTAAAGATAACGTTCTTTAATAAACAAAATAAACCGAAATAACACATACAAAAGACACACAATTTTAATATTATTCAAAAATTGTAATTTCTTATAGAAAAAAATACCACAAGATTTTTAAACATTAAATTCTTCAATGTTTTTAAAATGTAGAAACTGTTGTTGACAAGCCCACTAAAAAATGTTGATTTTGTGTTTTAAAATTGTATAATTATTAAATATCTAACTTTTTCTAAATTTTAATATTATTCAAAAATTGTCATTTCTTATAGAAAAAAAAATACCACAAGATTTTTAAACATTAAAATCTTCAATGTTTTTAAAATGTAGAAACTGTTATTGATCAGCCCACCAAAAAATGTTGATTTTGTGTTTTAAAATTGTATAATTATTAAATATCTAACTTTTTCTCCTCAAAATTTTTATTTTCGTTTCTAAAATTTTAGGGTTTTTAAAGTTCAAATTTCAAATCAAACTTGGAATTTTCTCACAATGTTTTAAATTTTTTTCACTTAATTTTTAAGCGTTTTTCCCTCAAAATCTAATCAAATTTTCACTTTATTACACCATTTACCTACGTAACGTTTGGTCAAAATAGGTGATAAAATGCGCGCTTTTTGTCCTAATGCCGAAAAAATCTGTGCAATTAATTTGGTCAAAATCCCAGATTAATTTTGTTAATGATGATCTCGATATCTGGAATTTCCGCGATATTATCACACACAGAAAGTCGATGAATGGCCTGAAGTAAAAGTTTGATCATAGTATAAAATCTGATGGCTTCCACACCAACTCTCGGGGTCGTGAATGAAATGAATGGACGTGCATTGTCGACCACTTAACGATTCAAAGGCCTTAGCGTTACAAATATCAACCATCCAATTGTGCATTCGTCAAAAGGGCATCATATCATACCTACTCTAATCCTATTGTCGCCTTAATCGCCTTTGTGATCCCGCGACAGCCTAATTATGGAAAATATACAATAAATAAAGCGACTAACAAGAAGTTTTATTGGATTTTATTGGTCCACGACGGGCACTTACCCTCAGAAACCGACACCGGAAGCGATCTGAAACAAAAAATAATTCATTTGAGAAAAGCCTTCAAAGCCGCCATTGAGCTTTTGTCTCCTCGACAAAGTCAAAGGGTAAATACTGGACGAGAGTCGCTTTGGGAAATTTCATAGTTCTCTGATTGATTTGTTAAATTTGGAATTTTAATCCGGGGGTTACCCGCTTCAAATGAATCATATTCGTTTGCGTGTAACTTTAATAACCATCATCCGAGGGTGTCCGAAGGGGTTAATTAATCCCTCATCGTAGTCATGGTCGCAAAACCATCGACTCCTTTTTTAATCGATTCGTCCCGGCATTACAGATAATTTTCCTAATGCGTTGCAGCAAAGGGTGGACAGGGCCGGCGTCACCCAAAAGCAATACGGCTAATGAGCGCTTCAATTCAACTTCAATTTATTCAACTCAATGTTATTTTCCAAAAAATCAATAAAAAATCTAATTTTAACTAAACTGTCCAGGAGCAGTTTAAAAATTTATCGGATTTTGGTCCTTTCTTAATCATTTCCATGAAAAATTTTAAAATTACTGTTTAATAGTTTACAAAATATTAGGAGTATAAAAAATGCTTCGTTAAAATTACATTTGGCACTGTTTTTCATCCATCATCCACCGATTCTACGTGTTAGATATTGACCCTTCTGTAGTCTTTTCCAGGTTAAATCCGAAAAAAAACTTGTAATTATTTACCAAAAAGTCAACACAACATTGTTCGGAGGAATACAAATCCGTCATTGTTTACCATCTAGAAACGACAGTTTTAACATTTATCATATTTTGCCCCTCTCTTAATTATTTCCGTGTAAAATTTTTAGATTATTTTCAAAAGTTTAACCCCTTTCTGCAGTTCTTTCCAGGTTGAAATCCGAAGAAAAACTTGAAATTATTTTCGAAATAATTGACAGAGTTTTAATAAAATTGTCGGGATTGTTCACCATTTAGAACAAGGATTGGAAAATTTTTCATATTTTATTACTGACTCATTTCCGGATAAAATTTTAAACTTATTGAAAAAAAAAATTGAAAAGTATTTCGTTGAAAGCAATCTCTAATCCTCTATTTCCAAATGCTATAAATATTTAACCCTTCTATGGTAAAATTCAAGTGGATTATTTCTCCGTTTGATTTGGGACGAAATCCTATAAAAAATTTAGTTGCATTCATTTGCACAATAATATAACTAAAAGTTTGTTACACTTTTAAAATTGACTCAGAAAAGAGCCTTTTCTCTCTGCAGGAATAAAGAGTAGATAAGTGAAAAATATACAAGGAGTCCGGAAAAAAATTGAAAGATTTCGAGGCTAGTGTCTTAGGTAAAAATAAGAAAAAAAGGTTAAAAAGTTAAAATGCCTATAATATCCTAATTTCTCTTAATTGCAATTCTGTGAATTCCAATTATAAAGCTAACAATTTTTGCATTTCTAAAGATTAGCATGATTTTGGCACAAAAACTCATCTTAGATTTATTCAAATCTGCTGTCCTTAATCAAAATTTTAGTTCACAAGCGGTGTTATCTATTCTTTGAATATTAAAAACACATTGAAATTTTCAAGAAGTTACAATTTCTAGGAACTGATCGCAAAAAAATATTTTTCTTAGCTAATTTAGATACTCAGAAACGAGATTCCAACTTCAGATTCTCTCTTGTCAAATTTTCAAAACGTTGAGAAAACGAAAAAACTGGATTTTTTTTCCAAGATCTTGAATTTTCTACTGAAAAACTTTTAGTGTATCTTTATCTTGTTATGTAATTTATTTTACAATTTAGAATTTTTGAATTTTTTCAGTCCTTACACTCAAAATTTTTTTTTCTAAAATTTTTCATATTTCTACCTCTACAGTTACTGAATTTTAATTTTTCAGTAATTTCACCAAAAAAATATTTAATTTTTATAACTTGGAATTTTGAATTTTGGACTAAAATTGTAACAAAAAATTATGAAAGTTTTTTTACTGTCTAAAAGTCCAGAAATGCTTCCTGAAAGAGTTAAGAGCTCTGAAGATAATGGAGACTGGAGGCCCTAGAGTCAATAATCTATTTAGGAAGTAAAATTTTGATATGAAAAAAGTTTTTTTAATTTTTTTAGCAGATACGGATTTATTAGCTAATTTTCGACAAAAACGAGGATTGTTTTAGTAATGCGATATTTATCTCAACCTACTAAATAATCCACATTTTAAATAAACTTCGTTACAATCAAAACAAATAACAAAGATATTAGACCCAAAAGTCTTACGTAAGACACCCTGATAAATTGTTAATAATTTTCATTTTATTTTGAAAAACCTGCTGTAAAGTTAGAATAAAAATTTTATGCTTTTATTGGTTCAGGTTAATTGTTGATTTATTTTTTTATGTTTCCCTCTCTGTGTCATTTCGTCGATTTCTTTGTTGGGTGTTGGCGGAAACTAATCGAACTCCTTTTGATTTTGCTGAAAGAGAGTCTGGTTTTAAGGTAGAATATGCTATAATTTTTTGGCTAAGTTTGCCTAGTATTTTGTTTATGAGAATAATTTGTGTCATATTATTTTTGGGTGCGAATATAGATCCTTTTTTTTCTTTTATTAAGGGTGTTATGCAGTGAAGTAAAATTTCAGTTTTCAGAAATATGCAACCCAAATTGCAGGGCGTTTAGGCTTGCACTGGCAGCTGTCAATCAACGGATTAAAAGACCGCCTGTGGTGACTGTCGCTAAGACCACACCAGACCGAACCATTTAAAATAATCTTAGTAAAATTTTCGGAATGTGCTCTTTAACTTATTTTCATATATGATAATAATACTAATAATAATAACAAAATGCCAAGTTGCATTGTTAAATACTTAATGAAGATAAATAATCTTTTATAAACCGAACACAAATAAAAAAGAAATTTTAAGGACCATGAATGGCTTTATATTCACACAAAATATTTTATTAGACTTAGCAAACACTAACACTATAAAACAAAATTACACATTTACACATACAGAGTGTCAATTTTAAAACTTGCAATCGGCGATATTTCTAGAACTGAAAGTTATTGAGAAACCGTTTCGGTGAAGCCTTTGAAGCCTTGAAGCCACAGCCACCTCAAGTTGAATATTTTAAATGGCACTACCCTACTTCTGATACATCAGTAAATAAAGTAATTAATTAAAAACATTCAAAATATGTCGTCTCCTTACTGCAACAACTAGATAACTTGAAATTTATAGTTTTGAGTAACTGCAGTTTAAAAATTTAAAAGACAAACAACTACATCTTGAAAGTAATCAAAAATTATTATTGTTAGTCATACAAGTGTGTAATATACTAAACTGTTTTTTTAATGTGACAGAAATTTAGGTTTTAGGTTTTTGAAGTACTGCAACAAATACTTTAGAAATGCCTAAAATTTAAGTTATCTAGTTGTTACACTAAGGAGACGATTTTTAGATCACATATTTTTATGTGTAACGTATACTTGATTTTTTTAAACTAAAATTATATTAGAAATTAGTTTTTAACTAATAAGCAGTGCTAATTTAGAGCGAAATTTATTTATCTCTTACAAGAATCGTTTCCCCTATCCAGGGACACACTGTGTATCTGCTTCGACTTCTGTTGTCATTCATTTTGCGTTCTTAAACGTCGAATAATTCGCGAATTAAAATTTGAATGCAGTTAAATGTTCTGTAAATTGGCCACAATGCTACTAGACTTAAAAAAATGTAGCTAAAACCAGATATCATCAATTTGAAATTCAACAAAAAGGAAAGCTTCTTGCAGGTACCGCTTGTGTAAAATCATTATTAGGGGTTAAGCGCTCGATGGGGGGTAATAATGGCTGTAAATCATGGAAGAAGCTTGAGATTTTCGGTCCAAGGGTAATGGAGGTTGCATCCATATTTTAAAGTTTTTTTGTAATTTAGCTTGTATTATAAAAATAATTGAACGTAGCGAGGTGCATATTTTAATTATCTACATGTCAATAAAAAAATTGTTTTAAGATGTTGCACCGTTACAAAGAAAAACCTGGGCAAAGTTTTACAATAATGGTAATTTTTTAGAAAATCTAAGTAATATTTAAAAAAAATACAACATAGCGGGGTACGTTATGCTATTATTTACAGATAGAGACGTGGATCTTGTTGTAGAATTAAAAAATACAGATTTTACACATGGGTGAAATTTGTATATTTTCCCGTATAGATTTTAGAAACTAATGGAGAGCCTTAAGTTTGTATTTTTTTCTGAATTTGAATTCGTGGGACTTTTTCGTTACGATAAATGAAGGTATTTGGCCAGGAGAGCTGTTTTTCTGTGTAGAAAAACCCAGATCGTTATTTTTCTCGATTGTAGTGAAAATATTCCCCTTGGTACAATTTTTTATTCATGTCGGTGTCAGAAAAAGACATACGAGCTATTTATTGGGTAAATATCGGTGTCAGTGTGTCATTCCCCTTGTGAAAAGCTCCCCGAATTAAAAAAACACGGTTGTAATTGTCTCCGCTCGCCTCATAATAACTTAATAGCTAATCGATCGAAACCATACATTAGTTATGATGAGCATATAGCATTTCCATTAGGCACGACAATGGCACGCGAACCTCCGTTACTAATTGACAGCAAGTTTGTTTGTTTTAAGGGTAGCAGAAACGCATTTTCAATCAACTCGAGTGTGTTTACATCGTCTTGCCCGATAATCGCAATGTATCCGATTCTTTTCCACACAGAATTATTCAATTACGTCCATCGCAATTTCAGCGATGATTGGGCGAAAACTTTGTTTCAGATGTTGGCTGCAGCGGACCAACAATTACACACCACTTAACATGCCATCGATAAGTAATTTCACGTTGCAAATTTGATTAATTATGTTTTGATTGGTATGACCGTGTGTGATTTTGTTATCCTTGATGGTGGCTTTGTGCCCTGGACCTTATTTGGACCACAATGCCAAGGCTAACTCCACGAAACATGAGAGAAAGGGAGAGTTGTGAAATTTTTAACTAACTGTAGTTTGTTTTGT